CTATGCAAGAAGTAAACTAAAAAGACAATATATTAACTCGGATAGAATCAACCATTAAGTTTATCCAAATTCCTGTTTCCTCAGAAGCTACCACCCCTTCATAACATTTTGTTAAAAACCAATGTATACCAAAAAGTATGGACAAATATTACAATTGATTATAAGGAGTACATACAAATTCTGTGTCCATATAGATTACATAAATTCCGAGCATTCATTCCATCACCTGGCACGGTGACATGGGGTGGCTCTGCGGGAGCCTGGGATTATGTTAAAATCCTGGGGGTATGACTTATCTCAGTGGAGATCACTGTGTGACGTACGCCTGGCCCAGAACCGCTGTACGTCAATCCCACATGACCATACACAAGTCTGAACCGAGCGTGAGCATCACAAGGACGTGCGATAGCACTCTCCAGCTCAACCTGCACAGAGATTTCCCAGCTCGCAGGACACCACATCAGGCCAGCAGACAGAGCGATCGTCACCAGGGCTGGTTAACTCCCCAGTTAACCCTTTACCCACCAAACTTCCACTGCCACCATGTATTTTCCGGAATACAAACCGTGCCCAGCAAATGCTGCGACTATTCAAAACACTTAAACAATGCCTGTGATACCGCTGTCCTCTCAGACAGGAATATGACAGGATTCACTATACAGTAGCGCTTAGACATGTGCGATTCGTTCCGAATCGAAATTCGGACGACTTTTCGGAAATTCGGATGTATCCGAATTCCGAATTACAGACCTAACGAATGCAAACGAATCCGAATTTCCATTTCCAAAATTCGGTAGCGGTAGTTCGGACGTTCGTTTCATTTTCTGTTCTTATTCGTTTCTTATTCGTTTCGTTCGTTGGAGCAAAGTGACATTAGAGAAGGAGAAAAATATTTTTTCCCCCTCAAATGTCACTTTGCTACGAACGAACGAAACGAATAAGAAACGAATAAGAACAGAAAACGAAACAAACGTCCGAACTACCGCTACCGAATTTCGTCCGAATCCGAATTCTGAATCCGAATTGACTTTTACACCCGAATCCCGAAAAACGAAATAACACAAATCCGAATTTAAAACGAAACGAAACTAAACAAATTTTTTGGCAGTGCACATGTCTAGTAGCGCTCTTCAGAGAGGCAAGGATACTTTAAGTTCGTATTTAGAGCGTAGAGATAAGCTTAACAAATTTTTATATCGCCCTTTAATAAAAGAAACGGTGCAGAAAATATACAGAAAAAGATTTAATAAAAAGAGACAAAATATATACACAACAGCAATTGTGAGTTCTGACAGAGTTCAGAGTTCAAGAAGCAAAGTGGAAGTCTGCAGGGCTCTTCTTCAAGCAGACTTCCAGCAGATAATGTCCAAAGATTAAAAGGGAACTCTTCTGCGATGGTCAGACTTCAAGTTCCTCGATGATGTTTAAAACAAGAGCCACTCTAGTTGCCAACACAGAATATTTTATAAGCCCCTCTTAGGGGGTGTACCCGGAGTCAGCCCCTATGCAGGGTTGGGGCGGGAAAGCAGGCAGAGGATGAACCTTTAGTTTACCTATCCCCACCCAATTCCAAATTAATAAAATGTAACTTGATTTTCAACCTCAGGTTTTATGACTTTTAGAGAGAATGCAAGGTCACCACCTCTCCAGACCTGATTGTTGATATAAATTGTCCACTCATAACATATGGAGGGCCTAGTGCCATGCCTTTTAATTACGACAGCCATAAAAGGATTAGCACAGATATGTTTGAATTTCACTCGGACTGGGCAATAAAAGATCACAGCCAGAGGATCTCTTCTGTGAAATGTGGAGGGACCTGTCAGTTCTAAATGAAGACCCGCAGGTGCTCTGATTGGGAAACAAACAAATTCTATTCTGCAATATTCAGACTCAAATCCCCCATCGTCACACACTATACTTTGCCAGCAAGTGGCCTACAATCCAATATAACAAGTGAAGTTGTTGAACATTCTATGCTCAATTTACAAAGCTAAAATGCCAGTGACCGTTAAAAAGATTTAAAAAAGTGATGTTATTTTCAACTGCATCCAATGAACTTAGTCACTTGTTTCAAGCTAAAAATCCTTATCCCTGGGTAAGGCTTTGTGAATTGAGCCTTATGTATTTAACATAATACTCCAAAAAGTTTTGGTAATTATTAGGTTACATATTTTAATAGACAATAGAGACACTTGCTAGGAGAGTCTTGTATGCAATTTTAAATATATGGAATTCATATGGCTAATTTGAAAGCTACATATGCTGATATTTGTGTCCGAGATCATAAAGGCTTTGTTCTTATTGAAGGTGGTATTTGGGGATCACCTACACTTGCAGATGCTGTCAACAGCATCTGCACACATCACATATCCAAAACTGTCTCTGTAATCAGCCTGTGGCAGTCCCAAAGTACAAGTCTTCCAACAACGCCTAAAAAAGGGAAACAATTGTGCTCTGTTGAAGTCATTTTGAAGTAGAGGAAGCAATCATATAAATCTTACTTTATTGAATGTGTTTTCCAGCCCACGTGTCTGTAGACAGCCGAACAATGCTCTTTACATGAGCAATAAGCGTCTGCAACATAAGGACAGCCAGCTGAAGGCAGGTACAGCAGCATTGCTGGACAGTGAGATAACTGCTTGGTGTTCATTCTGTGCTGTCTCACTGCTGCAACCAGATCTCCTGTTTATCTCTCTTCTGTCAGCCGGAATCTGACTTAACTAGCCTGTTACTGAAAATATCCACCTGCATTGAGCTGTGGGCATTCAAAATATATCCTCTGATTATGATCAGAAATATGTATACAGTCCATAGTCTAGATAATTGCTCGCGCCTGTAACATTATTATTACAGGCATTTATATAGTGTCGACAATTTACACAGTGCTTTTACATACTGCACATTTACATCAGTTCCTGTCCTCATGGAGCTTATTATCTAAAGCCCTATCACAGATCCATACAGGGCCAATTTAAACCAATTAACCTTCCAGCATGTCTTTGGAGTGAGGGAGGAAACTGAAGTACCCAGAGAAAATGCACACAAGCATGGGGAGTGTTGGAAATGCAACATCATATATTATGTCTTTTGATCTGTAGATGGCGCTGTAGTGCAATGCTAGTCTATGCTAGTCTGCATGTTCATGCTTATCTTTGATATGCATAGGAAGTTCTCTCTGTATGCTATATAATGCTGTTTTCTGATATAATGTTCTTCTAAACAAGTATAAAACTTAATTCCTCAAGATCTCAGTGCTTCATCTAAACACATAACCAAAAGGGAGAACATGCAAAAAGTGTCCAGACTGGGACACAAATGGGGCACCCGTAGTGCTGGAAGGCAGAATTTCTAACCACTAAGTCACTGTGCTGTCCTGCTCCTATGGTTGGAATTCAGGTTGAATTCTGAAAACAACGGAAATAGGCAACTTATTAGAGAAAAAAAAACAGCTCTGCCCACAATTAATCTCAGAAAACCAGCAATCAATTGCTGAATGATGGATTAATCAGTGTACTATGGTATAAGCTACATAGAAGCATAAAGCTGTACATTTACAGTGCACAATTGCAGTACTGTGCAATAACGTATACCGTGTTTCTCGAAAGTAAGACCTACCCCGAAAATAAGACCTAGCACTATCTTCAGGGATTTCTGTAATATAAGACCTACCCCGAAAATAAAAGACCTAGAGTCTTATTTTGTGCAAAAAAAATAAAATAAGACAGTGTCTTATTTTCGGGGAAACACGGTATGCTCATTCTGCACTTTTTACTTTTCTGTAACTGACACCACAGGGAGCACATTTTTCATAATTGCCTGTAAGACTTGGTTAAAACAGTGGTGATCAAAAGACATGGCTAATTACCCCACTTATAAGACTTATATTTTGTCTGGATTTGGGCTTTAATGTGGCCCAACAATAAATAAAAGGATTGCTGGGGCCTAAAATTATTCATATACTGTAATATAAGCTATAAAATGTATCTACTAAAGGTCTAATTATCTAAACTCTACACATTCCTCGGAACTGGATTGCATTGGATCCTTATCATGAACATTTCTAACATTCCTGTAAGTGCAGTGATATATCTCTCTCCTCCAGATATGGATGAAATATCTTATGACGAGAAGCTGTGCACAACATGCTTTCACAATAAGGGTCAAGTTTCAGAATTTGTTTTTTCCATTTCACAGCATTTTGAATTTTTTAGTTTATCATTGACATGTGGTTATTGTATAAGCTTCTGTGGAAAATCTGTATCGGCTTCCTATCTCTCTGACAGGATTACAACGCTGACATTGTCTAAAATAAATATAGCAACTGTTGGGAAAAACAATCAACCTGGGCTTCTATTTAAATACTCCTCAGTACAAAGAATACAAGAGCAAATTTGTATAGTGGTTAGTGCTTCTGCCTTGCAGCACTAAGGTCCCTGGTTCGAATCCCAGACAGGTCACTATCTGCAAGGAGTTTGCATGTTCTCCTTGTGCTTGCTTGGGTTTCCTCCGGGTACTCCAGTTTCCTCCCACACACCTCAAACGTGTTGGTAGGTTAAATGGCTCCTTTTTAAATTGGCTCTTGTATCTATGTATATGAGATAGAGACCTTAGATTGTAAGTTCCTTGAGGGCTACATTTTCAAATTCAATTTAAGAGATTGATCAAATACATTATTAATTAAAAAAGAAAACCAAATGAAAAAAACTAAGCTATCCAACATATACCCATAAATATAGAGCACATTTTTTTTCAAGTAAATTTCACCTAAGTGTCTCAGTGAGCAAAAATAAGAGTTTTGCCAAATTGGTAATTTCATGGCCAAGTCAGTTTTGCCATGTCCCTCCCTTCAACTATAATTTATATGGTTTCATGGAAGTGGACAGAACAGAATTGTATAGTATTCAGAAAACATATTGACATTTCATTGATTTATTACCTTTTCGGTTTGTACATTTTGATAAAATCCCACGGTTAAAAATAACCATTTTCTTTTCCAGTTATGACGTCATCTTTTCTGGAGGCCCTGAAGAGTTACTTAAAAAGTTCCATCAAACAAAGCACAAGGTTGTATTTGCCGCAGAAGCATTTGTCTGGCCTGACAAGAGATTAGCTGACAAGTACCCCGTGGTGCGCAGTGGGAAACGATTTCTTAACTCAGGAGGTAACCTTTTTATGTGCCAACTCCATGAGATTCTGAATGGAATGTCATTCTAAATGTAAAGCATTAATTCTGCCAGGAGACGGATTCAGTGTCAACTTAATATGCTTTCTTATGGCAACGTTGCCCAATGCAGCCCAACACACTGCCACAAATAGTGTTAAATGGACTGAAAAGTTTAGTGAAGTTTAAAAAAAACCGAAGCACTGCAATACATTGTAGAATGCATTGCATCACGCAGGCACAATGCACATTCGTGATAGGTCGTTATATGCACCTTTTAAAGCTTAATGAGGATAGGAGAAATTGAACTCTAATGCAAGTCAGGCTGTTCTCACTGAAGCAGAATATGTTGGTCTCTGAGCTCCCCCCTTTTTCCATTCACTTCCTTAAAAAAAATTTCATTGATTAATTTCGATGAATTATAACGCACATACAGATCAACTACAGGAGGAGGAGTCCGGTGACGTCGTTGTCCGTGACGTCACCGGATCTCCGACGGGACTCCCGGAAGCCGGCGGAGAGGTGAGTGTTTTAATTAATGATCAAAAGTATTTTAATCGATCAAAATGTTTAACAATTAATCGAGTAATTAATCTTTAATTTCCGCAGCCCTAAAAATGTTATAATCAAAATATTAAGCCTTCCAGTCCATTCATGTCTGCATTCTATGTCTATGGGACAAAGGAGGGCTGCAGTTAGCTTGTCCATCATTAGAAGGAGCCCAGCCCCTCTCTTTTATCAAGTGAACACTTATACCGGGTCCAAGAAACTGGTTGTATTTGGGAAATAGCGCAGTGTGTGCTCTATGACTTAAAACTATGCTGCCTGTAATTGCTCATTCTAATACTAGCAAGCTCAACGTATTGTTTCTCCCTATAGAACTGCAGTACAATGAATCAATGCTCCTTACCAAAAGGGACTCTGGATGACTGCTCCAAACCCTCACTACATTGTCCAGGACTTGGCATACACTAACAAGCAGTTCCGTTAACACCATCAATGCTAAATATATATATA